GTAGGTTTTCTTCTTGTTTTATTTCTTGAAACCATAATAGGCTTTGATAAATCTTAGCTTCAGTATTGATGCAAACAGCCATTGTGCTCTTAAATCCTTTAATACTCTATGTAGTAAAGGCCTCATTGCCTTCTAGGAGTCCTGATAGTGAAAAATATGCAAGCTAAAATAAAATCTACTTTATTTTATGGAATATGGTTTTAAATTCTTTTTCAAGACATATAAAAACATTTGTCAACTTCAGTTAATTTTTTCTAAAATGAAAACTTACCCTCTTAATCTTTACCTTTTTATATATACATATACACATGTATGTATACATATTTACACTTTCATTGTACCCTATCAGTTCCCTAAAAGAGATTTGAAAAAGGTTATGATAAATAACATTTGCATAATAAAACTAATGAATTTCTACTAGACAGTACTCTAGAAGTTGGGGATGAAAAGGAAGCAAATTGGTTGAGAAAAAGTTTAATATAGTTATGTCACGAGCAGCTGATTTATTTGACCCTCAGCTTCCTCGAAGCCAGGAAAAAATGAAAATAGTCTGAATTATATATTCTTAGTTTCATAAAGCAACAAAAAGTCAAAATTTTAATGTATTATGTTATGAATATGGTTATACATACATGATTTATCACACATTGGAGAAGACTCACCAACCCAAAACATATGTCTGTTTTACTAAATTTATATTTTCAATTACTTTGCTTGGGCTAATGTGAAAAGGTTTTTTCATTCCCTGGGCATCCTCTCTCTGTGCACAGTTTTGGGTAGCAGCAGGGTATGAGTGATAGGGAAAATTTTGCCATAGGAAAAAAAGTGGAAATTTTAAACGTATCTAGTTTTTGGAATATTGGCTGTATAGATAGGATTCTGACTTGTTGCATAGTAACCAGCTGTCTCAGCAAGTGGGAAGTAAGATTGAACAACAAAAAAAATCGATTTTGAAGTTTGGAATTTGCCTAGAAAATGAAGACCTGCGTCTTTACCATAGCTCCTTGAAGTTTGATTCTCAAAGCATAAATCTCTCTAAAATCTTAGCATAGGAAAATTTTTTTATTCACTAGGCAGGGAAGACAAATTACTCACTGTAATAATGCACCTGTAACATGTTTAGAAAAATGAAACACAGGAAAGCAACTCATAGGGACTCATAACTGGGAGGCGTGAGACAAATAAGGTATGATGATAGAAAATAAAAACATTTCTACTTGGGGTGAAATGATGAAGACTGGTAGATGGGTTCTCACATTAATAGTTTCCTTTTCAGATTCACGTGTGATAGAAGGTAGATTGGCGTCTACTCTTATATTCTCATGAGCATCATTAAACCTTCTGTCTGAAACCTAAGGGTATTTAGTAGTTTTTTCTTAAAAAAAAAGTTTTATTCTGCTTAGATTTTAGTCTAAACACCAAATTTTTAATGTGACCCCTCTGTACAGATATTTGAATAGTGTTCCTTGGCATATTTTGATATATCAGATGAACAGATTTTATGTTTTCTTTATGAAAAGTAAAATGAAAAGAATAGAGAACATTTGTTTAACAATTTGTATTTATTTCTGTCTATTAGTTACCTTGATCTTCAAATCAAGGAACTTATAATAAGGTTGTAAGAATTCACAATTAGCTGTGAGTTATTTTGCTGTACAAAACTTCCGTTTGTGTTTGACTCATGCTGGTTTCACACCATTAGCATTTTCTATAAGACCAAATATATAAGCTTGTTTTCAAATCTATTGGAATTTTGAAGATTTTAGAGTTGTAGTCTCACAGAGGAGTTTTATTTATTTTTGGTTGCTTATATTGTCAAAAGAAAAGTTAATTCTCAAACTTTCTTAACTATCCATTAAGTAAATATATCTCTTCTGCCGAGTTACTTCTCAAATATATATCAAATAGCATTTACACAGTACTTAAGATATGAAATATGCCTTGTGTTTTAGGTGTGTTCATTCATTGATTTGATTTTCCAAACAGTCTTGTCAGGAAGAAAGGTAAGGAATTATTTTTATCTGTTTTTCCAGAAAGGAAACTGGGAAGCAGGCAGCTAGTAAGTGACATGTATTTCAGATTTCAACAGTACAACTCTTTTCTGGGTTTCATATCAAACATTAACACTTTGTAGATTTGCTCCCCGTTTTGCATGGGAGGAAATTAAAAAATCAATGTCTGTAGAATATGTGTCTAAAAGCAGAGATTCAGCAGAAAAAATACATAGATTGATGTTTTTAAGTGTATTTTTTGCTTTTTATAGAGAAAAACTGATTCTCTAAATTAGATAACCAACTCTACAATAATTGAATGCTGTTTTTATATTCAGCACCTCAGACATCTTTTTCTCTCTTTTTAAAAAATTAAGATAATGACACAATTTCTTAGAATTGACTTCTATGTAGGTTAACTGGAGATTCTAAATGTCTGGGCATCAGAATTCAGTGATGATTCCAGAAAGACATAAATGGTGGAGAGCTGTTTGTATCCTTTTCAGATTTCCTTTCCAGGCTATAGTGTGCTGCTGGAGTGCTTATGTTAGAAACACATTCTGCTGCTTAAAAACACAGCAAAATTGAAGCAGTTGAAGGCCATTAAGAAAAGACTGATAGCTTCATCTTCTAAGCTTACTTTTCTCTGGAATATACCTCAGTCTCTTAGCGTATATGTCTCTCCTGCCAAGCATGAATATTAAAGCCACCAGTCAATGTTTTTCCATGTCATTTAATCTCCCAGTCTATTTGCTGATTCTCTGAAGGTGCTCAATAATAAAAAGGGCATAGTCAGGGGATGGCATGATAAGTTAGGTGTGTTCCTGAACTGACAAGTTTGTTTATTTAAACCTTAAACATAACACTAATTACACATCTCTGGAAAATTCAAATTATAGCCTGTGCAAATTATATCACCATCAACAGTATTTTATTGAAGTGTAAAGCTTTAGAGTTTTTATTCCCCACACACCCTGTGGTGCCAAAAGGTGTAATGGAGAAGAGGCTTTTTCTCTCACTTATTTCAAGACTTTCTTTTCTTCCCCCTAGCTTTAGT